GGAGAGCCAGGTGGGATTGCTTGAGCACTTGGGTCGCAAAGTGAAAAACATGCAGCATGGTGGTCGTTTGGATGGTAGCATGATGGGTCAGCCTATACACTGTGGCTCTGGAGGACAAATCTGCTTCCTGGAGCAGCCACATGGGCTCACTGCATGGAATTGCTTCCTAGAACAGCCGCCATGGGCTCATTGCATGCAACTGCACACTTTCACTGGAACAGCCATCGAGGCTCTGCAGACACGACGAATGGAACAGCTACTGGGTCTCTGCAGCGCGGAAACTGAGATGCAACACGATTGATTTTTGTCCGAAAACTCCTTGAGCATCGTCTGCTGTGTCGGTGATTGCATGCCATGTGGCATGCTCTGGATCATGATGGACTCCCAGATGGCTCAGCTGGTTTTCTTCTTCTTGGCTTGGTGCTGGGAAGAAGAGCTCGCGCATGGTTCCTCGGTGCTGTAAAGCAATTGGTCGTGGACGGCAACATGGTGGCTATTGGTCAAGCACGGGATGCGGATCCCGTCCTCCAGCACATAGCTGTGCACCAGGTTGGCTTCCTCGGCCTTGGCTGCTGGCTTGGCCCACCAATATGGGACAAGGCACCCTGGGTCCTCGCCCTGGAAAGATGTGTTCTGTCGCCAGCTGGTGATGACCCAATGACTTCCAGCATGCTGGATTGCAAGTTTGGGGGGCGCACCTGGCCCCTTGTGCTTGGCGACCTGCCCCAATGGGATAAGCTTGATGGCGTTCTTTTTCTTGGCTTTGAGGCTGAACAGGCCTTGTGGACTGTGGACGAAAGCCACGTCCTCATGGTCCACCTCATGATTGGCAATGGCCGAATGCAAGGCCATGGCAACTTTCGATTTCTGGAGCTCGTCCTGGATCATCCTTTGCAAGCTCCGGCGGGCAAACCTTGGTCTGGGCGACTTTGGCTGGTCTCCATTTCCTCAAACGCTCCAGTGGCACTTGGACAGATTCGTCCGCCTGGAAGATAGGCTGGTGCCTCATCGTCGCGTGGGAGTCGTCCATGGACTCCAGCACGAACACCTTGGGACCATGGTCTGCGGAGTTGGTGTACCTGGGCAGGCTAGTATATCGCTGTACGTAAACCCGAAAAGATCTGTGTCTATATATATATATATATGTCCGCACTTATATTGCTGCGAGCAAGCTGCATATTGCCCAACTCCATGCGGTTATTCTGCAACAAGGCTATTGCCTTTGGGCTGGCATCCAGCACGCTGGTGACTCCCTGGCTGCTGGCAGGCTCTGGCTTCTTCGCCTGGGCTGCAGTCCCTGCAGAATCTTGGATCTCGTTGGTGAAAGCTTGGAGGATTTCTTCCAAGCTGGCCCACTGCTTGGCCTCCCTTCCCTGCTTCTGCTTGGAGCAGAGGAAGAGGGTGGTTCGCACTGCCATCCGGCCGAAAGCTTTCTGGAGCACAGCTTCTGGCCTGGCCTTCATGGCCTTCATCTGCTGCTGCACTCTCCAAGCGTCCTGAAGCATGGCTTCTGCCTGCTGGACTGCAGGCAGCATCTGGCTCGTTTTCAGTCGCTGGATGTCTGACTGGGTCAAGATCTTGGCAAAGCCATCCTGCGACTTTGGGGACGTGAGCATGGTAGCCCACAGACTGATGCGTATCATTGGATAGATCTGTGTGGCCACACGGAAGTCCAAAGTGGAAAGCAGTTGCATGGTCTCTGTGCCAATCTGCAAACTGGCATTGAAGGATTTGGAGAAGCCATTCAAAAAGTGTAAAAATGGAAAGCCTGGCGACCCGCCTCCAAACTTCTGCACAAACATGGCAATGCTGGGGATAGATCTTTGGCAGCTGGTGCTGGCCTGGCTTACCTTCCCGATCGCCTGCTGCATGGTGAGGCCTTGGTCGAAAGCTGTGGCCAGCTGGAGTGCTACCTCCAGCTCGTTGGCTTGCTTCATGATGGCATTGGTGCTGTTCATGGCAAGCTCGATGAAGGATGGCAGGTGTGGCATGGCCTCCTCCACCTGGGCCGAGATGACGCACCACGTCCAGCCTTTCTGGATCGTCTCCTGCGTGGGGTCCTTATCCTTCTGCACTATGGCGTGGGTACCCTCTGGCCCCTCGATGCCGTGCTGGAGGCATCGCAGGAAGGCGATGGTGTGGCTGGCCGACAGGGTGAGGAAACCTGGCAGGCAAGAATATACTTATATTTTACGTTTGGCACGACGTGGGTGTTCATATACATGTGGGAATGACAGAAAACTTGATGAAAGTCGAGTGGCCCTCTTGGCCAGTCAGTGGTGCTAAGTGGCCGTTGGAGTTGCTCACCAGCTCCTGGTTGGCGGCCAGCTGGGCACCACGCTTCTCCTCCTGGGTGGCGAGCTGGCAGCATATGGTCGTGCCGTCCAGAATGGATCGCTTGAAGCCTAGCATCCTTTCTGCCAGCAATCATGGTACCCCACCATGCCCCCACCTCTGTTAGCCGGGTGGCACAGAAGTTGGGATGGCAGCAACACCTGGTCGTGGGCCAAGCCATGGGCTCGGAGAAGCTGGAGCACGGCCTCCACTTTGTTGTTAAACCCGAGACCCTAAAAACGTGATACAACTGGGCGCTGCATGGAACAGCCAGACGGGGCTCGGAAGCACACGACTGCACGCGATGCATTTTTCTTCTGGGAGCAGCCGCTGCAGTCTATAGAGTCTGGCATGGTGTTCATGCCTTTGTTTTCTTCACATATGGTCGCTTGCTTTGCTGGGTGGCCTGGGCCGAGTCCTCTCGCAAGTGGATGATGACAGCCTCCAGTTGGGTGGCTTCCAGCTCGACAGCCAGGTCGGTGCTTCTCGGCCTGCGTCCATGGATCAACACTTCCACTGGGGTGGAACCTACCTGGATGGTGACCACTTCTGGCATGGCGATGCGGGATGCTTTCCTCTTCTTGGGTGGCGTCGATGGATTTGCAGGGCCATCGTCGAACAGCTGGGCCTGCTCTCCATCGTCTGGCGCGCCTGGGTCGCGCACGTGGTCCAACTGATGGTTTCTGGCCTGGACCAGTTCCCGCAGGCTAGAGCTGGCATGGATGCTGCTGTTCCTGGCCACCCTGCCTCCTGTCATGAGCTGGATTATGGATTGACAGGTTGCCTTCACCCGCAAGTAAGACTTGCCATTGGTGGGCCCTACCAAAATGTAGTCATTGGGTATGGTGACTGCTCGCTCGTCTCGGTATTGGAGCACCACCTTCTGGCTTATGGTAACCATGGCTGGCCTGTGCCTTCAGTGGGGCTGTGAGTTGCAGGGGCTTGCTTCTGGTCCCTGGCAGCAAAATATGCAATGCAAGATGGAAACAAAGCCTGGGACAGCCACATGGCTCCACATGCTGTCTTGGTGAAGAATGGAAAATGCTTATTATCGATCATTTCGTTTTCAATTTTCATCCTTCGTGGCTAAAAAACAAAAAAGGATCAATACATTTCGGCTATGCCTATGACTCCTTTCTGGCACTGGAAGAAAACATTATAATCATTTTGTAGAATAGCAGGACGACTTTCCATCCAAAAAGAGAAATCGTGTGGGCAGAATAAAAAAGTGTTACATCCCGAACAGAAATTCGTTTTTGTTTCAGCTTGGGCTACATATACATTCACCTTGAACACAAGTGTTGCCCTGGTGTATTTTTTTTATTATTTGTTTACACAAAAAATATAACTAGTTAGCGAAAGTGTTTATCTTATACCGAGTTAGCTAAAAAACTATTCTTTTTATTTACTCCTTTTAATCCTGTGTATATTTTATGCATACTTATATATTGTTGTCACTTACATGTAACTTGTTAACACATACTTATATTCCTTTATTAACTGCTTATGATGTTCAGATAACACCATAACTCTCTATAAAAAAAACAGCCAATCTAAGTATTTTGTGGTAGGCGCAACACTCTTGCAAGGCCAGGCGCAGATTTCTTTCGGAGACAAAGCGAAACACATAGACACAGAATAGACAGATAGACGCATAGATAGAAAGAAAGCTAGATCTCAGAGGGGTACGTTTCGTGAGCTCCCGTCGGGCCTCCCCCCGCCAGAAAAAAAAATGAATAATTAAGACTCGAGAAGGGAAGGTACAAACGAACAAGTTAGCCTGTGTTCTAGGATAGTGAAGTAACACCCGAAAAGTTAGCGTTAGCTTGTGTTTTCAGGATAGTGAAGTAACACTCGAAAAGTTAACTGTTTGTTAGGAACGTGAAGTAAGAGCTGAGCAGTTGGCACAAGAAGTTGGCAGGTGAAGCAATTCTCTAGTAGTTGGCATAAGAAGTTGGCAGGTGAAGTATTGCATAAAAGTTGGCCTGAGAAGTAACTCTGACAGTTAGCATTGGCAGGAGAAGTGGGCAGGTGAAATTTGCAGCCGCTCTTAGAAGACGAACCCTTCGCAGAAAGACAGAAAGAACAACAAACATAAGGAAATGAAGAAATAATAGAAATAAAGATATAACAAAATATGTGTTTTGTGTACTGTTGCTAAAAAACGAAGCAATAGAAGCAACAAATAAATAGAAATTAATACATACACAAATACATGATGAAACAACAAAAGAAAACTTGCGAGACACCAAGCAAGAAATAACAAACAAAATAAAGAACAAACAGAAATGATGAAACACACAAATAACTAAGGAAACAAACGGGAAACAAAAACAACAACAAAAGAAAGCAAGTAAGAAACAAAGAACGGAATAAAGAAAGAGATGCGTAAACAACGTAATGACAGAAGGACATAATGGAATAGACAACGCCGAGGACTAACCGCAAGAAGATAATCATGACGAAACAACAGGGACACATAACTATAGATTTTGTATCTATCGAAACTTTCGCCCGCCGGCTTCGCTGCTTTATATTTGGAGAATCAGAACATGGCCACGTCAGGTAAACATGACAGACAGCAAATGAGGAACGGCCCGAAAGCTCATGGTGTCGGGAGCCGATCCGTGTGTCATCCGTCATGTGTCCAAACAACGCCAGGTTACTACGAACTCTGTGGTGGTGCCTTGGCCATTCACGCCCAAGGGCTCCGTCTTGAGGCCGTAAGTCATCTGGCAGTCTGCTTACGGGTACTTGCTAAATCTTAGTTGTAAAGGTTCTTCAAATCAAGCTGGGACGGGGGGTTGCCGGGCGTGATGGGTTTTTAAGCCGCACGGCAGCAGAAATGTGCGTTTACAACCAGGACTCAATATAATTCCTGGATCATGATTTATTCCAGTGCTCAAGCAGGCAGTCGGGCAATTGTAGCTTGCTCTTCATCGGCTGTGCAGCTTTGCGCAATGACCGCAATGACCTGGCCTGCAGGTTGTTGTTGACCTGCACAACAAAGTCCTGATGTCCACCACAGTACCTCAGTTCGGACACTATCCAGCAGTCCCACAACAAATGCAGCAAAGCTTGCGTACTCACCGTCGTACTCCTCTGCCAGGCAATCTGTGTTGTGAGACAGGTCGTAGACAAAATCGTGGCAAAACTTGATGTCGGTGCCAGCTTCGCCCCACCTCCTCCTAAACCCGTAAACAGTTCCTTCAGTCCTAAAGTCCTGACAATGTCCTAAAGAAGTCCAAGCAAAGCTCCATTGAATCGAAGTCCTGCAAAAGTATTAACTCTTACTAAAGTGCGCATAGTAAAAGCCATCATACAGCTCTAATGAAGGCCGAAACAAGTCTAGAACAAGTTCTACTAAAGCCAGAATGAAGTCTTCAAAGTCATCAATAAACATCGGGCAACGATGTGCCAGGGCGCAGGTTTGCTGGATGGCTTGCAGCGTCTGGAAACTGAAGCACAGAAATGTTCAAAGCTCGCGTCTTCCTGCCGAGTGTGTGCATTTCTGAGTTCCTGAAAGTGCAAAACGCAGGTGCAAAGCCGAAATATATAAAGAAAACATGCTGGTGGCACATCACATCTTGTGGCAAGACAAGCAGCTGTTAGATCTGATAGAAATGGGTGAAGGACCAACACCGGCCAACAGATGTTCCCAAACTGGGTGAATTCTGAATGATTGATGTCAAGCGCAGGCTAACGCAAACAAGTCGCTGCTTCTTCACCTCCAGCATGTCTCTCCCCAGCGGGGCCACCTGAAAGATGTACCTTGAAGCACATCCAAAAAACAACTGGCTGAAAAACCTGACAAAACCTCCGCGAGAATACAACGTAAGAATGCCGGGTAGCTTGCCAGGCTATTTGCTTTTATTCTGATGTGTCTTCTTGTTTTTCTTGTTTGGAACGGTTGGGGAGCCCATCTTCTCAGTTCGCAAAACCTCGAAAGCCCGAACATGTAACGCCCGTAGCAAGGCTGGATTTTCTTAGAAGGCTCCGGAATCCATCAACCCCAGCTTCGAAAACGAAAAGCCTGCAAACACAAATCCAGGGGCTGATGTTCGTGATTCGACTAGCCCAACAGAAACGACCTGACAGTTCGCGCTTGTCCTCTCGCTTGCACTGCGACAGGTATACGCATGCAAGCCGTCACGACTCCAGCTGCAAAATGCCGATCCGCCTACGCTTTCAAACGTCAGCAAAACTCACTAGGAAAGTCCCGAGGTCTTCATTCCTGGACATATACACTCATTTTTTTGTGCCACTTGCTGTTGTCGAATCTGTGTCATTTGCTGGTTTTTGCCCGGGTCCTTGATCCCCTTTGATTAACGCCGCTTGTTGCACTCATTGCGGGCCCAAACGCTTCTATCCACGACTTGTTCTTGTTGTTTGTGTGCAACCCATACAGAACCAAACGGGTGTGGGGTGAGGGCAAAGCCGGACAGTTTCTCGAACACTTCGTGCAGTCATACTGATACTCAATGCAACACCTGACATCACCGGTCAAAAGGACCGTACTTGAAGGATTGGGGCGAAGCAGCTGCCACAGAAATTTGCATGCCACGCCACGCCCACGCCAGGATGGCAATGATAATCAGCAGCAAAAACATTGACCTGACAAGAAATCTGGCATTCGAGAGTTGCTCCGAAGTTTGCTATGCTGCATTGGGCCATAGAGAAGCATCAAAGCCCTTGTTTGAATGGCTTTCGTCGGGCTGCCGCAGGAGTGGCGTTGCTTGTTAGTCCTAAATTTGAACACAGAAGGTTTGGCAGAAGGACGCAATGTCCAAATTATTTCGACATTGCGTCCTTCTGCCAAACTTTCTGCGCTGGGCAGCTTGCCCTCCCGCGGCCTCCGCTTGTACCCTCTGAAACGCTTCCGAAACAAGTCGCTTTTGAGGAGCACGGGTGGGGTGGGGGGGCAAAGTGCTTCAAACCTTGTCCACAGAAAACAACGGACACCGTTGCTTTCCCGCAACTTAAAAGGTCACAAATGATGCTCCAACGCTCAGCGGCAGCTATTTGAGGACTGCCACTTAGATAACACGCGCACCGCTTTGCTCGACCCAAGCAAGCGAAATGCACAAATAGCAACTGTACAGTCCGGAAAGCGATCTGTTTGAAACAGCGATGTTGAAACGTAAGAGGCGTTCAACAAGCCGTTCGGATCTGAAAGCCTTAGGCCTTCGGGCCTTTTCGCCGAAAAAGCCATTCCGTAAGCGTCCGCGTCGGTGCTGCACCGTTTCTGAAATTGTTTCTGAAATTCGTCACCACTACTTTCTCAAACAACGGATGAAATGGTGAGGTGCCTGTTAAGAGCGCTTCCGACCAAGCAGTTTTGAAGTTTGATTTCGCCTTCGTGACACAGGAAACCTACAACTCTGGCAAGTTGAAGGTGCTGGCTACGTCTACAACTACGGCTTGGGCTAATGTGGCGTGCGCAATGCTTTCTCAGAGCTCTTGCGCGGCTTTCGCTTTTTGTACAATGTCAGTACACTGTTTGCAAGAGCCTCCTTCAAAACCCTACTTAACGTCATGCACAAAAGAACAAAACATTCAAATCGTCACCCTTGGCACGGATTCAGAACGCTGCTCATTTGGAATTCATTCAACAAATTGATTTCACTTGGTAAACAGAAGCTGCACTGCTGCTCCCCACCAACCTGCAATACCTGGTACGCCCATCCAGCACCAATATCATCCTAGACCCGATGTTATCCTAGTAGTATGGTCCGCTATGTGCCATTGATCATCTAAAAGGGTTCTGTGGTTGAAGCAAATGCAAACATGGACGCAACCGACCGCCAGCATAACCAAAACTGGGCTGCCCTCAGATCCTACTGAAAGATTAACTTTAGTGGGTTATAGTGGGTTAAATGGAAATCCCCACTGAACCCTAAAAAACTAAAAAGCTAAGGGGATGGCCGGGAGCCACCAAGAAAACATTCCAGCTTGCCCGCTGACTTGTGAGGCCAGGCTGCTCCACTGAGCTGCGGAACTTGCCTCACGGACGCTCAAAATGGCGATGGCCATCAAAACATGTTTGTTGAGTCTTTGCCTGAATTTTTGGTCCGTGGCTTTCAAACCAACCGACAGGCACAACCACTTTGAGGTACCTGAAAACGATCCGCCGCTGTGGATTGCCGTCCAAGCTTGCAGCAACTGTTTGATGGTCAAGTTCAGTTGAAGGCAGCCATTTCAAAGCAAACGTGAAACAGTGACCACGCCAATGTTTGTTGTGCCTTGACTGCCCGTCTTCCACCTCAATGGACCTTTCTTCACCACGGCAACAGCTTGTACCAAACGCACATATCATATAGTCTCACTGCTCATGACGTGAACTTTGGCGGCTGACATAAAAGGCTTCTGGCTCGATGCGTGGCTATTCTTCCACCTTAGGGCGTGGCTGTACTTCACCTTGATGGCTTCAAGATCCTGCGATGCCGACAATCCCCCAGCCCTACGTCCTGGGCAAAGCAGCAATGAGCGATAATAGGTGAAGCCAATAGGTGAAGCGACCAAGCTCTTTGTGCCCTACTGGGTGCATAGCACCGCCAATGTTTAGAGAACCATAGTGATCCACAAAGGTTACCTGCACATTTTGTGACACAATCTTACAATCACAAACTTATTTGAAAAACCGACGCCGCCCGCAGAATATGTCCACTCTGCAAGTCACTGCTGGAGGAGCAAAAGTGAGATTCTCACTCAACGCAATGCAAGGGGCGCCACTGCTGCCGTCTTTCTCGCCAAACAGGCCAAATCGACAGTTAAATGGACCGCCAAACCAACGCAACCAAGCCGCCTTTGCAAGTCGTGTGTAGTTGTGCGTTCGTGTGGGCCTGCAAATGTATATGCGTGCGTGCGTGCGTGCATGCGTGCGGGAATGTTCCACGCACGGGCGTGTTCGTGTTCGTGTTCGTGTTGGTGTTGGTGTTGGTGTTGGTGTTGGTGTTGGTGTTGGTGTTCGTGTGCGTGTGCGTGGGTGTGCGTGTGCGTGTGTGCGCGTGTGCGCGTGTGTGCGTGTGTGCGTGTGTGCGTGTGTGCGTGTGCGCGTGTGCGCGTGTGCGCGTGTGCGCGTGTGCGCGTGTGCGCGTGTGCGCGTGTGGGCGTGTGTGCGTGTGTGCGTGTGTGCGTGTGTGCGTGTGTGCGTGTGTGCGTGTGTGCGTGTGTGCGTGTGTGCGTGTGTGCGTGTGTGCGTGTGTGCGTGTGTGCGTGTGTGCGTGTGTGCGTGTGTGCGTGTGTGCGTGTGTGCGTGCGTGCGTTGCGTGCGTGCGTGCGTGTGTGCGTGTGTGCGTGTGTGCGTGTGTGCGTGTGTGCGTGTGTGCATGTGTGTGTGTTGTGTGTTGTGTGTGTGTGTGTGTGTGTTGGTGTGTGTGTGTGGTGTGTGTGTGTGTGTGTGTGTGTGTGTGTGTGTGTGTGTGTGTGTGTGTGTCTGTGTGTGTGTGTGCGTGTGCGTGTGCGTGTGTTTGTTTGTGTTTGTGTTTGTGTTTGTGTTTGTGTTTTTGTTTGTGTTTGTGTTTGTGTGTGTGTGTGTCTGTGTCTGTGTCTGTGTCTGTGTCTGTGTCTGTGTCTGTCTGTGTGTCTGTGTCTGTGTCTGTGTCTGTGTCTGTGTCTGTGTCTGTGCGGGTGCCGGTGCGCTTGCGGGTACGCGTGCGCATGCGTGCGCATGCGTGCGCGTGCGCGCGTGCTGGTTCGCGCGCAGGTGCGCGCGCGCTCGTGGGCATGCAGCCGCGCGTGCGCGCGACTTCCTCGCCACCTGTGTCTTGGGAAATCGGTGTCTTGGGAAAGTTTTCTTTTCGGGTTCCCACGTTTTTTCGACCCGAACGAGGTCTATGTTGCGTCCGTTTCTCGAACCTTTTTTACAGCGCATGGCGTAGCACCGCTGACAGGGTGCGTTTTGCTGCTGACTGGATGGCAAAGTAACCACCAGCATCAAGGCTGGCCCCGTGACTCATGGTCGTCTTGGAATACTGAACATCAGTGGCAACAGCCAAGAGAAACGCGTGCAAATGGTACTCGGCAGCGCACCCACCCCAAACTTATGCCAGCTACCTTGGGAATTCCATTCGCAATGTGACAGTTCCCGCGCCAAAAGCGCAGCCGGCGCCAAATTGGGCGTCCGACGACGACAGTAGCAAGGTAGGCGGTCACCAGCTGTTTTGCACTGTCCAGGCAACAGCCTGGAGTCGTCGCCAGAACAAGGCGGGTCGTGCAATTACAGATACGTCTGTATGAAATGTCTCACCATGGTCTTCAAGGTTTTGGGATGCGAAGGTTGGGCGAAGGCCGATTTCAAGGTCTTATTTATACGTTTGCGGGAGGCGCAGGTAGATCTGGACTCCATTGCCCAGACACTTTTCGAACCTGGCGCAGCACTGAGACGCAATGAAGTTTATGCAACCACTTGTTCAGAAGGTAGTCCAGCCACTTGTCCCTAGAACTCCTCCAGAGATGGAAGCCATGAGAATTACGTTGGGCTCAGCTGTCACGCTCTTTTCACACGAAATCCCAGATGTCCCGAAAGAGGGCATTCTGTGGGCTCAAGGGCTTTTGCATCTTTTACTGCTGTTTCATTTTTCCGAGCAACTTTGCGCAGTCGCACGCTGCGCGCCTACACGGAAAAGCTTGGTGAAACGCAAGTCCGACCATCGAGCTACACGTGGACGCAGTTTCAAAGTACAAGTAGACTGGAGTCCCAGAACTGTGTACAGACAACCCGCCTTACTGTACGTTGAGCATCTCAAAGAGAGTGGAACCGGATGGCAGTATTTCGACGAATTCAAGAAAATCCTATGCGCAAGCTGAGCTTGCCATTCGATATTGGAGCAGCAAACGCAATTTCCACCCGCTTACCATTGTCAAAATATCGCACTGTGAGAACTACCGCCAGGCCTGAGTTCTTACAACGCAAACCGCTGGGATTCCGCACCACCTCACAAATGAGACGCACGCACACACACACACACACTCAATTGGAAAGGTTTGTTTGCGAAGTCCCCAGGGCGGCGCGTGCGAGGCTTCCAAACTCAATTCGGTGAAGCAACAGCAACAGCAAGTCAGCAAAGAAGGTTTGTCATTTTTGCAGGTACGTGGTTTGAGCGTCCTCAAACCATATCACTGTGCAACAGATGCGTCTTCGTTGGCTGGAGACACCTGAAGCACACTCCAGGCCCCTGCAATCCCGGAAATCAGAACGTGGCAGCTATAGCCACGTGTCACACACACACACACACTAGTGCACCATTCTCTCCGGACAATCTCGGGTAGCTTGGGTGCCACTTTCGGTTCTTGCTGAGGACGAGCGCGGGGTCGCCCCGCGCTGCTACCCCTATCGGTCGAGTGGAAAGGGAGAGTAGCGGTAAAGCCACAAAGGCCGAGCGGTGGAGCGAATCACGCTTGCCGTAGCGGACGGACACTTGGCAGGTATGTCACCAGGTGTCCCTGGTGATATCCTAGATCGTTGTCAAGAGCTTTGTTCTGAAGAGGATCTCACGTTGCGGGACGGCGTTGAAAAAACCCACCAGGTCATCATTGCTTTCCTGGAGAAACAGAGGTTCGGCAACGTCTTGTACAAATGAATGCAGCACCTTCCACATCTGTGGCAATGATTCCAGCCCCAGGGCTTCTGCCCAAACGGTGCGAACCATGAGCTGCAAGGCTGCTGCGGTCCCGCGGAGCAGTTTCTCCATTGCGGATCCGCGAAAGGAAAGTTATGCTACGGCCTTTCTGAAAAGTTTTTTCCGCTTTAAGAGCACAAAACCGGACGGGAGTTGACATTGCTTGCTGACTCCCCAGGAGTATTTCCGTCGGAGTACTCCCGGAATGAAACTGTGCACTTGATCAACTGGACGGCGTTCCCGGCAAAGTTTGAAAGACATTGGGGTTGTTCCAAGTGGACAGGCAGCCATCAAAGTATCCACGAGGGCAGAAAATTATCAAATGCTGCGGCTGGTGGTCTTCGCAGTGTGTCACAGCAATGCGAGCAAATATTTGCCGGATCTTCTGCGCGGCTTTCCAGTCTGTGCGTCCTTGATCACGTACAGCGTTGACGTGATGCAGCCAAAGGCGATTCAACAGCTGTTGAAACCTGTAAACGACATGCAAAGGTATGCCATTTTGACGGCACCAGGTTCGAAAACGGGGAACTTGTTCTGCAAAGTACG